AGTATACTTTAGGAAAGAATTTCAGACACCATAGTGTAATAACACTGTAAAATCAGGAGAAAAAACCCCAAACCTGTCCACAATTAGCACACGGATAAGCTCTGTTCTAGAAACAAATTTACCATAGCTCAGAAACTTCCAAACTCTTTTTACAGATTTGGGTAACTAAGAACTGAAAGAATTACAAATAGTAATCTAAACCTGATTCAAGGTTTACAACCCAAAAGTCTTTACCCCACCAATTAATTAAAATTAACAAGGATACACTTATGTGGCCAAGAATGATTCAGAGAGACAACACTTTTTAAGACTGTTCAATCCAGTATTATTCTATAGAAAATTAATTTAATATCACTTAATAGGAACCACAACCTATTACAACCACTCAGACACCTGTTAACTGACCCAGCTGCTTCAGGCAATCTACCAGGGTGGCATGAATCACTTAGTTCATCTTCAGTGAATGCCTAATTTTCATAGCAGATCTGGCCTTGAGGACACTAGAGAACCTTTGCCTGAAGAAAACTAAAGCTAGGAGAAAACTGTTGAACACTTATAACACTATGAAATCTATGAAATAAACTGTTAAACTGGCATTTTTTTGGGCCAGAATTCATTAGTCCACCGGTGTTTCTGAGACTACTAGGCTTTCATAGCCCAAATTCAGGTAAGATTCGTAAGTATCTTCTCATCATTTTTCTTCAATAATAATATTTTCCATTTAAATGGCATTAATGGAAGGATACATTCACAAGAAACAAGTTGCGTTAATGAATATAATCCCCAAACTGTGTAGTGCAAAACCCAGTGAGCTCAGAACACCCCTCTGCTATGGGCACTTGGCATCTCAGATAGTCACAATTCCTTTCTTTCTTTCCGTCGTGTCTCTCTCCACACTTCGTATTTCCTCCCTGCGTAAGGTTCAATTTCAAAAGGCCAAAGAGAGACTGTGGGGAAGAAACACACATTTGCTTCACTCCAGCTCTGTCTATAATCTGGTGATTACAGATCCTTTTATAGGAATGACATTTTACAAGTTCATCAATTATCTTACTTTGGGGACAAAACACTATTAATTTGCAGAGCCGTGTAAAAACACCACCAGATTTGATTAATGTCACCAGGGAAGAAAGTTATTTAAGGTAACACAACCAGCCAGAGGACACAGTGCTCAGCTTAAATACTGACACATGCAGCAGCACAGGAATGAGGATCTGGGTGCTTAATTCTATGCAACCACACCTATGACATGCTAATGCTTCTTTGGATGTTTTCAAAAGGTGATATAAATTCTTGTGCTAAAGCCATGCCCCCACCAGTTCTACTCAGCTCTCCCAGTATTCTGAGTATTCTTTCTCACCAGTATCAACTGCATATATAAATTAATGTTTCTATATATATGTTATGGCTATTTTATTTAGGATTTTTACCAGAAATATCATTTATATTAACAAATAAATAAATTTTCTCTTTCAGCATCGTGGTGGGTCCTCAATAACAACTAGAAGCTGTTCCAAGTAATGTTAATGTTGCACTGTTTTTCATTACACCAACATTCATATAGCAGTGTACAGGTGTGCTGGGCTATGAATTTATGATGTGATAATGTTTGTTATTATGGATGCGATCTTTTCCACTTTATCCGTCTTAAAATCTGGAAAATTGCATATTTATTACCTTCTCTTCTTGTGACTAGTTCGGAGACATGATGTATTCTAAAAATTGAAATAAGAAATAAGACAACTATGATATTTATTGTGTATATTCAGTCCAAACTATCACAGAGAAGTACATCTTGATTTGTATGACTAAGTATTTGTGAAAAGTTTCAATCTTGCATTAATAAACAATCATTACGTAATGCTGCTGTGGTCTCCTTTGACAGAAGAAAGAGGTATGACCACGAGCACACCTTTTCACACGTCTGCAGAGATGCTGTAAGTCATTAATTAAGAGAATAAACACAGGGCCAACTCTTTGTGCTAACAGAGAGCTTCCCTCACACAGGATGTTTTCTGCTCACAAGAAGACAAGGCAGTACTATCTTCTCTTCACAGACTCTAGCCCCTACCCTCACAAGAGGAAACATACCTGCCTGTCTGTCAAGACACTACACATCCCCAGACTTAACATTTCACAACCAATTTGCTTTGAACTCTATGTCCTGACCACTCAGAAAATACTTTTATTAGATCTCTGGCAGCTCTAATGACTGAAAAGTCATTAGAGAAACTGCTGTTAGAACACAAATAGCTATAAACCTTGAGCTCATTGGGAGGTTCTAGCAGGGGAGCAGGGCTACTGTACACCCTTGAGCAACAAACAGTACCATCAGAGGTCACTCTGTGACAGAGTATGCAGCTTCAGGAGGGACGCACATGGAACACTGACGGAGGAAGGGGACACCCCCACCTGTAGCCAGTCAGATCTGCTCAATCAACCCGGCTGATCAATGGGGTGACAGATGTTGCAGCCAGATCACCTTCACATCCAGGGACCTGCGGTTCCTGGTCAATGGAAAGTTGAATACGAGTCAGCAGTGCCCTGGCAGTCAGGAGGGCCAACCATGTCCTGGGGGCATCAGGCAAAGCATCGCCAGCCGAGGGAGGGGATTGCTCTGCTCTGCACTGGTGTGGCCTCACCTTGAGTATTGTGGCAGTTTTGGGCACCACAATATAAGAAAGATATTAAGCTATTACAGAGCGTCCAAAGGAGGGCAGCAAAGATGGTGAAGGGCCTTGAGGGGAAGCCGTATGAGGAGCGTCTGAGGTCACTTGGTCTGTTCAGCCTGGAGAAGAAAAGATTGAGGGGAGACCTCATTGCAGTTACAATTTCCTTGTGAGGGAAGGAGGAAGGGCAGGCACTGATCTCTTCTCTGTGTGACCAGTGACAGGACCTGAGGTAATGGCCTGAAGTTGTGTGAGGGGAAGTTTAGGTTGAATATTAGAAAGAGGTTCTTCACCCAGAGGGTAGTTGGGCACTGGAACAGGCTCCCCAGAGAAGTGCTCATGGCTCCAAGCCTGACAAAGTTCAAGAAGCATTTGGACAATGCTCTCAGACACATGGTGTGACTCTTGGGGCTGTCCTGTGCAGGGCTAGGAGTTGGACTTTGATGATCCTTGTGGGGCCCTTCTAATTTAGGATAGTCTATGATTCTATAAAACCTGGAAGTAGAAATATTTGATTCCCTAACAAGTCATAGTGTTGTCTCCTGTATCTGAGGCATCCAGCTCAACAATGAAAGGAAAGCAACCTTTGTAACCTCCCTCACACCTTCATGACAGCTTGACAAGCTCTACATGCTACATGACCACTCTCTCATCTAGCAGCCCAAGGTTACAAGCAGTACCCAAAAAGTACATGACAGTCTCAGATAACAGCAGATGCCTACCTTTAGGCAACTGAATCAAGCCCTTTGACAATAAAATTCATGAGGCCTAAGTTCTCTACACAAATGTGGATGTCAGAAAGCGATACCTGCACACCTAAATTTAGGTGCCATGTTAGAGACAAATTTCACCTTTAAATCTGACGGTAACTCAGCAAAAGTGAATGTTTTTAATACTGGTCTGAAGGTTTCCCTTATTGACATGATGCAACTACTGATCTGTCCATTTTTAAAAAGGCACCCAAATAACTGTATTACCCTTACAAGTGACATCACTGTAAGTTTAGTTTCTTGTTTTTAGCAAAGTAAAAGCAAAATACTCCTGAACAACTGCTTTTGCCATGCCAAGATGTCTGTCTAATGTATGGCATAGTTTTTTTTGTCATTATGGACATACCAACCAAGGAAATACAGTGACATGTGACAGAGCTGCAGGATAAATCCTTAAGTGAAATTACACTGAAGTTTGTGACACTTTTCCTTTTCACCATGAAAAAGAAAAACAAAGTTAAAATCATTCTTAAAATAACCTGTTTTAGAACTTCATGTCAATTAGGTGCTGGAGGGGTGAAAAAAGTTCTACTAGGTCATATGTCCTTCTAGCAGTTATTGTCCTTTGTATATTTACTAGTAAACACACACTTTGATGAATCATACACAAGAAGTTTGAGAAGTTTCACTTAAGTTTCACTTGAGAGCTACACACAGAAATTACTTGGAAAAAAGATCCAGTGATCTTTTTGGAAGATCACTTACTTGGAAAAAAGATCCAGTGATTAAAAATTAACCAACAAAGTGATTTATTTGCATGGTCTAGGGAAAGAAATCTAGTGCCTATCAAACACAACTCAAAAGGTTTCTGCACTACTGCAATTGCCATTCAGCACATTCTCATTTAGCTTTTATTATCATTTCTGACAGAGGTTAAAAAATTGCCTTCAGTGCCCAAATGATGTTATTGTAGGTTTGAATATGGGTTTTGAAGTTAAGTATATTCATACAAAATAACTATTATTGAAGCCTGTAAACTGAAGAAGGAAATACTCAACTACTGCTTTTCATTTCACTATTAGATTTAAGGGAAATTTAAGGGAAAAAGTGATAGAATTAACTATGCAGTGGTATACCCATTTACCCATGTAAGATGTGATTAAAATCTGTCTGGTTGCTCAGTTTTGCCGATTGCTTTCACTTTTCAAAGTCAAAACCACTGGACCATTATTTACAAAGCACTTTAAGGAATGCAGTGCACAGGCGTATCTCCTGTTCTGATCCATGATGAGAGAAGATTTCTCATTTTAGTGAAACAAGAGACTTCATACCTTGAAAGAAGGCATGTATATCCACAAAATATTAAGGAATATCTTGTGACAAAATGAAGATTTCTAATTAAGAAAGAAAACAAGTGAAGTTTTGTCAAAAAAACCCAACGAACTAGAGGAGTACATACCCTAAGACATCTGAGATATGACACAGCCGGTATTTGTTGTTCCATCATTATTTCTTAGGAAGGCAGTTGGGAGCAAGCAAAAAGTCCTGGTCAAGTATTGGTTTAGAGTTTATGGTCAGGCAAAATATATGGCTACATAACACAAACAATTCAAGGACAAAATTCTGCCACAGCAATATGCAAAATTATTTATTTTCACTGTAATCATATTACCATCTCAGGCATTACAAATTAAAGGTTTGTCTCTTAAAGCATTTGGGCAATGACAGGAAGAAACAGGCATTTTCTAAAATTTCACAGGGTCCTATTTCCATCTGCAGGCACCCAAATACCTTCAAAAATTTTGAAGACCTACATCATATGTAGCTCCTTCATTGATGGATTTCTGATCTTCCAAACAACATGTCACTTCTTGCATATGTCAATAAAAGGTTTGTTCTTTACCTGTAAGACAAACCAACTCTCAAATTACTTCAGTTGTAACACGCCATTTAAACAAAGTTTTCATTTGGATCCACTTATAACTCTTTCCTATTCCATGTACATTTAACAATTTGATTTTTTTTTAATAGCAAACAGTTCTATTTTCACTAATCATAGAGACTTAATCTAAAATTTTCCTAGAAGACTTTGTCAATACAGTAAAATCTGTTCAAATGTTGAGCTATGTATAGGTAACCCTGAGCCCCATATCACAAAAAAAGTCACTGTCCTTTGGGACAAACGCAGTCCACAGTCCACTGACTGTAACAACAGCATTTCCCTTGTACAAGTCACTTTACCGATGTTTTCTTCATCTGAAAATACAAGTTTCAGTCATAAATGGGCATATACTTCAGCAGCGACTGCAAAAATTCAGAATGAGGAAAGTCTTAAGAGAGGCATGAACTCCCTGAATACTTAATTCAGTGGCAAACTGTTGACAACCACCTGGTCCAAAATACAGTGTCACTGACATATTGTAGGATTGCCTGTTTGTCATCAGAAATTTATCTGGAGGCCACCTTCTGCCACTTTTAGGCATCGCTCACTTAATTTACACATGCATCTCATCAATCCCTCTGCTTTGGCTGTAGAAAAATGGATGACATGGGATCAGTCAACACACTGGTATTTTCTCACACAGAATCTGCTGAATGAAGAAAACCAATGGCTACATAACACAAACAATTCAAGGACAAAATGCTGCCACAGCAATATGTAAAATTATTTATTTTCACTGTAATCATATTACCATCTCAGGCATTACAAATTAAAGGTTTGTCTCTTAAAGCATTTAGGCAATGACAGGAAGAAACAGGCATTTTCTAAAATTTTACAGGGTCTTATTTCTGCTGCATGAAGAAAACCAAAGTGTAGAGGAAATAGGATGGATAATGGAACAAGTGAAGACCACCAACTGTTCAGAAAAGTAAATTTAATGGTTTTGCACACTCCATTGAAAACAAGACCTGAACAATTATATCATCAAGATACAAATGTTCTACCACCATTTCTGGTGCTGCTCTATTAAAGAGTACTGTCTTTAGATGACTTGCTAACAGGATGATGTAAGCCCTTCTACAGGATGTTAAAATTAATCTGTATCTAGAAACTACACCTTTCTAGAAACTACAGAGGCTATGAAGAAGATTTTTATCTAGTTTTTTCTTCTTAACTAGTGGAAACATCCAGTAAGATCTAATGAAAGAGACACAGTTTTCACAGCCTCCCCAAAAGAATTCTTTTTTCACTGTGAGGGTAACCAAGCGTTGCAACACGTTGTGCAATCTCTCCACAGAGTGATTGTGAAGTCTCTGCCTATGGATATATCCAAATCTGACTGAACACAATCCTGGGCAGCCTGTTCTAGTTGACCCTACTTGAGCAGAGGAGTTGAATTAGGTGATCTTAAGAGGTCCTTTCCAAACCAAACAATTACAGGAAAATTCATTAAAAGCTACCAAAAACATGCTTATGAAAGAAAAAACAAACAAGAAAAAAAAAAGAACCAAACCCAAACCAAGGTTGTAGATTATAATTCCATCTCATAACTAAACAGATGAGAAAGAAACAGCACCTAGAAAACACTTCACATCAAAACTAAAGCTGTTTGTACTTGTCCTATAGGCTCTCCACTATTAATCAATCTGTTCTCTACTTCCATGTGGAATGCTCCGACTCTGACACGTAGTCTTGATAAGCAAGGTGTCACACAAAGCAGGCAATTTAACATGCCAGGCTGATGACCCTGTACTGCACTAGGAGCCTGAAATCACTGTCATTTCTGGATAAATTAGTTCTGAACTTATCTTCACTTTTTCTTTGGTTCCAGGTGCCTTCTCACGCTATTGCATTTTCCCTTCTTATTCTAACATCTGTTTTATCACTCCTCATTCTTGAAATTCAACACGTGTCTTTTCACACCAATATACAAGACCTGAAAGTAAGATCTATCAGTCATCAGGCCAAGTCAAGTTTAAGCTGTTCCAAGGTAAGATTCAGCTTTTACTCTAGTCACAGATTCTTGTATTTGAATTCCCATACAGAAAAACTTAGTGTCTCCAACTGCTTCAATCTTAATAAAGAAAGTGACTACTGGGTAGGGTTCATGTGTCCCACAAGCAAAATTTTTATTTCAGTACATTTCAGAAATTCTAACAAGGTTTGTATACTGTAACTGAGACCTTACCATGCTATTGGAAGCAACAGTAATTTTTTTGCCTTCCTTCCCAATGAGGAAATTGCTTAGTGAACACAGACATACAAAGTACATCTTAAGACGGTCCACATTCACAGAGCTTAAGTGTTTAATTTGTGTTACTATGCCTCCAAAAAAACTCCCAAATTCCTAAAAATTCAATGTCTACACTAGCATTCAACACTAGAATAAACCAGTGGATAGTTTTATCCTACATTAACAACAAAATATTTATTCTAGTCGATTCAGGAAAAAAAAAGAAAAACAGACTGTCACCAACCAAAATGTGGAACTTCTGAAGCATGATTGGCAACCTAATATCACCTTCATATACTGACGAGACCAGTATACTTGCAATATTCTTTTCAACACTCCTCAAGATCAACTGAAAGTTTTTGCTTTTGTTTAATGAGATTGTTTTCCTTCAGTTTCCTACACAACCACCCACACTTTGCGCTTAAGACACCAATACCAACAGCTGAGTGATACACTTGACCTTACTCTAACACAATATCCTGACTAACAAGGGTTTGTAATTTGCCCATCTCCTTTTGAAGCTGAATAGAATCAAAAATCTCACTGCTTTTTGTATCTGTATGACAAACTAGCCTGTGCAGGTGGGGGCTTACAAACATATGACTAACATAAAGCAGAGGAAAGACTTTAACAGCAGGCCTCACAAACCATGAGATAGCCTTATTTCTAAAGACAAGACTATACATATAGAACTGGATACATTTATGACCTCATGCTACAGGTGTACATCCTCCAGCCCCAAAACAATCTCGCAAAACACATGCAATCCATCTTGGCTCCTATGAGTTTTTACTATCCTTCTTTCACTCTACCCAATTATTTGCCATTTGGTCAGGTAATGAGAAATTTTAGAGTGAATTAGATCACTGATTTAATTGCTGCTGGGGCCCTCCTTTCTCCTATGAATGTAACCATGTGAAAGTGCATAGATTATCGAAATTTGCCCCCCTTAGAAACTCAAGTGACAGGGCAAGGGGAAGTAAGGAAATTCAAGAGCAGAAATTTCCCTATCTGAAGGCAGGTTTTCAAACAAATAAAGCTTTCATCTTGAGGACAAATAGAAAGACATAAAAAGTAAGATCAGCAAAAGCCAATTACAGTCATATATTAGCTTAACTTTGTTTTTTAAAAGGGTAGAAATTTAAAAAGTTTAAAAATACCTCTAAATGGGGCCAACACAGTAATCATCTGGACATATTTCTCCATAATAGGAACCTATTTCTAGCAGAACTACATCCCAATAGCCTCAAAAGCAGCCTAATATGTAGCCTATTTTGACATGATAATATTTACCCTGAAGATTTTCCCAAACTTAAGATGTGGAATGTGAACCAGTAGATTTTTTTCTCCTAGGATACAAAATATTTGAGGATTATTTCATCACAGAGGTTAAGGTAGCACACCTGGATATCCTTCACATTCATCATTCATTTCTATTGATTTCTCCCCAAAACCATAGACCAGATATATTGATAATGCAAATTGAATTAAGCTCATTAATAGTTTTGTAGTGGACACTGATGCATGGACAACTTAAACACTGGATTCAGACTTTCACCAAGCTGGAAATTTATCAAGATTGTTCTCTTTTATTTTGAACATTTGGAAACATACCTGATCTTTTTCCTGAAAACAAAAAACCCTTTCTCTTTATATGGTACTTACCACAGTAAGATGTCAAATACCAACTGGGGCAGTTACATACAAAAGTAACAGAGCTGAACTGCACAATCTGTCTTTTGAAGGTTTTACCAACTTGGCAGGCTAGTCTGAGGGAAAATGTTTCCTGTCAAATGGGTTGTCAAAACCTCCATGAATGATTTTATAACTTCACTTAATGCAAAAAAATGCACTTACTGGCTTCTCAAGTACAACTGGATGATCAGGAAGAAACTCTGGCTTCTTCTGAGAGAGAGAAACACTTGAAAGCTTCAGAAGGAAATCTCTGCTGTATTGGATCCTTTCTGTGAATATACAAAATCACGAAATTCAACATTGTTGTTTAAGGCATTAACATTGGAAATTCAGAAAAATTATTTGGTTACTCCTAGAAGGGTGGAAATGTTGCATGTGAAATATAAAAATCAGTATTAAAATCAGGAGTCATTTCAATCTTATCTTGCATCAGGACAATTTGTAGTAAACTACAGAGCATTTCACCAGTAAATTAACACAAAAGAAGAAAAAAAAAATGAATTTAACCTTACACTAGAGACAGACTCCCCGTATCCTGTTTTAGTTAACAGAAACACCACAAACTGGTCTTGAAATCCTAGAAGAATCTGTTAACTCACACCAAAGTGGTACATATTTCTAAGGGAGACATAACAGAAATAAAGTGTCTCTTTTCTTGGAGCTATTAAGTTGGATGTCTTTTAACACCAAAAAGTAATGGTGAGATGTGCTGCATGTAAACTGGCCAACAGTTTAAAACCAAAGAAATAGCTTTAAGGGTATTACAAATCAACAAGAGTCGGGGCTTTGCTTAGAGCATGCAGGTTTATTGTTCGAGTTCATAGCAGTGTCTCTACTCCAGCACAGTGTCGGATACAACATGTCTAGCTGTGTCCAGATTTTAAGTTGATATTCTCAAGCAAGACTAGAAACAAGAGGAAAGGAATTAGGAAAAGAAGGGACAAGTTTTATCTCTGGTCCTTAGTGACAATGAAGTTCATTCCTTTAGGAATCATGGGCTGCCTGCAAGACTGTTACACAGTCACCTGATGGACTACAGTTTTATTTCAGACTGTAGGATGTTGACAAAAGATAAGGTGACAAAGTCAACTATGACTGGGATTTTTTTCTGCCTTTGACCACGGGCGATTGCAATAACTGCTGAACCTATGGGAGGGCATGTGGGAACAGTTTAAAGAATACAAGAATACTTGAAAACTTATGGCTTGTTTTTTTCCCTCCCTTGATTAAAAACCTAGGACTTCTATAAGGCCTCTGAGACAGTCCCCCACAACATCCTTCTCTCTAAATCAGAAGGAATGGATTAGATGGGTGGACTGTTTGCTGGATGAGGAATTGGTTTGACAGTTGCATCCAATCACATGTTGGAGTAAGTCCAAAGGAGAGTCATTAAGTTGACCACAGGGCTGGAACACCTCTCCTGTGAAGACAGACTGAGAGAGTTGGGGTTGTTCAGCCTGGAGAAGAGAAGGCTCTGAGGAGACCTTATAGTAGCCTTCCAGTACCCAAAGGGGGCTTACAAAAAGGCTGGAGAGGGACTTTTCACAGGCATGTAGTGATAGAACAATTGGGAATAGCCTTAAGATGAAGGACAGTAGGTTTAGATTAGATATGAGGAAGAAATTCTTCCTTGTGAGGCACTGGAAAAGGTTACCCAGGGAAGATATGGATGCCCCACACCTGGGAGTGTTCAAGGCCAGGCTGGATGGGGCTTTAAGTAACCTGGTCTAGTGGAAGGTGCCCCCCCTGCCCATGGAAGGGGGTAGAAACTAGATGATTTTTAAGGTCCCTTACAATCTAAACCATTCTATGATCCAAAGAGTATCCAATTAAATGTCCAGATGGAGATCAGTGAGCGATGAGTGGTGTACCTCAGGGTTCCATATTTGGACCAATACTGTTTAATATCTTTATCAATCACAACCAGTGGGGTCACGTGCACCCTCAGCAAATTCACAGATAACACCAAGCTGAGTGGTGCATTTGACACACCTGAAGGAGAGGATGCCATCCAGAAGGACCTGGAAAAACTCAAGAAGTGGGCCCATGGGAATCTTATGCTGCATTTAACAACTGCAGAGACAGATAACTGGAAGCAGAGTACCACTGAACAGATATCAAATGGAAATTATTATCTAGAACTTAAAGTACAGCTGAAGATAAAAGGAGTTCCAGAAGAAATTTTACAGTGTGAGGGGAAAAAAAAAGAAGAAAACAAAAGACTTATTTGTAAGCAGCAGCTGAACAGCAGAACCTCTAAAGTTGTGTTACTCTGAAGGAAAGGATTACAACAATCAGCAAACAAAAGCCCTTTGAAAATAAGTGTGAGAAAACACTTGTGGAAAATTGTGTAGTAGACTCAAGGGAGGCATCTAAGAGCAATTAATCACAGAACAACATCCAAAATGATGACTTTTATACAAGAGACCAGGATCTGATGAGAAGCCGTTTAAGATCTTGTAGAACACAATAGTCTCTACAACCACAAGCAGAATTGATGAGAAAGGGATCAGAACACCACCACCAAAAAGACAGAACTTGACATCCAACTGACATCTGACTAGATCCAAAGAATAGAAATCTATTAATCAAGATCAAGAACAGAAGAAATGAACCTGAGCTTGAATGGACTTACTTTCAAGTCAGTAACACACAACAGAGTAGAATTACTGCTCAAGAACCTGAGAGATGGTAACCTCTCTCAGACTGAGAAAAATAGGAAAGGCTCAATAAAACTTAATAGAATTCTTTCGGTCCTTGAGTTCTAAGAGTAACAGAACAACCCAAGTCTTCAGAGATTATTTAAGGATTGGAGATTACAGATGGAGATCTAGGATGATTAAATACAGGAAGATACAGACAAAAGAAGTTGTCTCAATGAACCAATGACCTGAGCTGGATCACTCATGCAGGTCCTGTGACATGCTTAACAATGAAGAATTAGGTAGGAAGTAGGGCAGAGAAGTACTGTGAGAATTCATCTGAAATCTGAGATTATTGCTTAATGAAAAAAAAAAGTAAAATTTTGGCTACTACCAATGCTCCACCTGTACTGACAGGCAGTACAAAGAGAAAAGCATAAGGAGCAAACCTTAAGGACAGTACTGACACAAGAATCACCTGCCCAGGACTCATCATTAGAGAAATTAATTCATTTTTTATTATATAAATATTAGCCTTTCAGAACCACTGTAGTAAGAGTAGGACAAGTAAGCCAAAAAACTGAGTTCTTTAATCGATTACATGCAATAGTCTGTATGCCATGACTGACCCCTGTAACAGGCTAAAGGATGCAACTCAAATCTGTACTTCTACACACACAAGCAATTTACACAAAACTAGGATTTTGTGTAAAGTATTTTTTTATGGCTGAGGTCTGTTTTTTCTTGCATTTGTTTTTTGTTTGCTTTCTTGGGTTTGTTTGGGTTTTTTTAAAGACAGTTACACTCTTACATGCAAGCAAGTCTACCAGTGGAAGTTTCCCACCTCAGTTATGGTCAAATTTTACACCTTCTCTAGAGTGTTATGTTAAAACCAGAAAGGTTTCATATTACTCTCCAACTGTGGTACAGAAAAGAGCCAAACTACCAATGCACTGGCTAATCAGAAAAAATAAAATGCAACCCACATCACTTCAGATTTCAGGTGTCTTTCATCCAGAAAATGCAATCCTGACACAGCTCTCCATACAGTATTTTACCTTTTTTTGCTCCTGATTCATGTTGTTTTGGTTGACAGAGCATCACAGTTTGAGTTAAGATCTTCACTTCAGTCATTTCAGATGACTAAAATAGGAAGGAAAGTTATGAAGTTTATCTCCTTTAGGCACACTAAAACAGGGATGTATGTTTCTTAGTTTCTTAGTTAAAAATAACAGTTGTAGCAGTTTAATTTGAACCTGTAGAATGTTTGTTACTCTTTTTTACATACAATAAAGGAACAGTTCAACAAAGCAATACAGGTAAACACAACTGAGAGCCATTTTTACACAGAATTTTACAGTGGTATTGCTAGTTTTTAAAAAGAACATAATTATCTCCTCCTTTTCTGTTATCTCACCCAGAATGCAGCCAGAAGCTGCTACACTGGGGAATAAGAAAAGCAGGAAGGACTTTCCTTAAGACCAAAGGATGGACTTGGATTCTCTCACTTGGCAAAAAAGGTTTCATAAGCATCAAGAAACAGCATCTACAGCATAATGTTGAGTTCCCTCAGCTGCCAAAACCTTGAAGAGAGTGTTCTGGAAAGTAGGAAAGCAGTTTATCAACAGTTTGTCTTAGCTCTGAAGAGGCTCCACAAGTTTGGCTGAGGAATTTTAACAACATTCTGAGACAGATGGGAAGGAGACAAGAACTGAAAATTTTGGGAAGCATTTGTTGAAAATAGGAGAGATCCTATTTTCTTCACAGAGACAGCAGTTAACACTTGGTATTGTAAGTTCACCAGCTTTCATGGTGTGTTAAAACTACAAATTGTGAAACGGCAAAATATTTATGTTTTATTCACCTTGCTCACATTTCCATTTCCTCTGGTTGAAATTTATTTGTCTTCTCCTGATTTGTCTAAACTAAACTAAACTTCTAAACTAAAACTTCTGGTAAAAACTCTGAAAAATCTAGGTGTTTCAGAGAATGAAGTTAACAGAGAGCCCATACTGCTAATTCTAACTGCTTTGTGATGTTCAACTAGTCTTCGTAAGCCTTAGCTATTCAAAGGCTCTTTCCAAGAAAGAAATCCAAAGATTTTACATAGAATCACAGAATCATAGAATCAGCCAGGTTGGAAGGGACCTCTGAGATCATCAAGTCCAACCCTTGATCCACTACCCCCGTGGTTACTAGACCATGGCACTAAGTGCCACATCCATCATCTTAAAAACCTCCAGGGATGGAGAATCCACCACCCCCCTGGGCAGCCCATTCCAATGCCTGATTACCCTCTCTGGAAAGAATTTCTTCATGATATCTAACCTAAACCTTCCCTGGCACAGCTTAAGACCACACCCTCTGGTCTTACTGATAGCTGCCTGGGAGAAGAGACCAAGCCCACCTGGCTACAACCTCCTTTCAGGTAGTTGGAGAGAGTGATGAGGTCTCCCCTGAGCCTCCTCTTCTCCAGGCTGAACAACCCCAGCTCCCTCAGCTTCCCCTCATAGGACTTGTGCTCAAGTCTCTTCACCAGCCTTGTTGATTTTCTCTGGACCTGCTCCAGCACCTCAATATCCTTCCTGAACTGAGGGGCCCAGAACTGGACACAGTACTCCAGGTGTGGCCTCACCAGCGCTGAGTACAGGGGAAGAATCACTTCCCTGGACCTGTTGTCCTTCCCCGGACACTGTTCCTGATACAGGCCAGGATGCCATTGGCCTTCTTGGCCACCTGGGCACACTGCTGGCTCATGTTCAGCCTCCTGTCAATCCAAACTCCCAGGTCCCTTTCTGCCTGGCTGCTCTCCAGCCACTCTGTCCCCAGGCTGTAGCACTGCATAGGGTTGTTGTGGCCAAAGTGCAGGACTCGGCACTTGGCCTTGTTGAACCTCATCCCATTGGAATCAGCCCAACTCTCCAGTTTGTCCAGGTTCCTCTGCAGAGCCCTCCTGACTTCCAGCTAATCAACTATGTGTCATCTGCAAATTTACTGATGGTGGACTCAATCCCCTCATCTAAATCATCGATAAAGACATTAAACAGAACTGGGCCCAACACTGATCCCTGGGGGACGGCACCAGTGACCGGCCGCCAACCGGATGCAGCACCGTTCATCACCACTCTCTGGGCCTGGCCCTCCAGCCAGTTCCTAACCCAGCACAGAGTGCCCCTCTCAACATGTTCTCAAATCCATATGAAAAAGACAACCACGACAAAGCACAATTTACAGTAATGCGCCAATGTCACCGCAGTATTTTTGCATTTCTTCCTGCACCATGTCCCATCACATCATCCTGCCAACTGCTCTACAATATCAAGTCTGATTAAATAGTGATAATAGGCAACTCTTTATCATGAGATCGAGGTCCTAGTATCTTCAGAACTAAATACGGAATGTTTCTGTTTAGAAAAATATTCTACGAAGCTACTCTGCCAGCCTTCAGGCCCATGTTGCCCATCAAGAAGGGCACTCACTGTTCAGATGGTATGTGGAGTACCCATGAAACAGTTTACAGCCAAACGTATTACTAATGAGTTTTTTCCATATCCTATGCCAAAGAAAAAGTTTAAAAAATATTAAAAATACAGCTATACTGACATGAGGACTACAACACTGCTGACCACAGGCTTATTTAAAAGGGAACAGTTTGTTTTCTGTTCTTCTCAATAACTACTGCTCAACAGACAAGTATAACTGTTAATTTCCCTATATGTTATCAAGAACAGGCTCTTAACACCTTGATTTTATTTTAATTTTTTTTTTTAAAGTCAAAGGCAGCTTCCAGAAGCTTTATACAATAACGATTATTAAAAGTCTTCTAAAATAAAAAGAAAAAGAGAAGGAACAGGCATTTTTTCTAACAAAAAAACCCCACACAAACTATCAATAAACTCTGAAGAACATTGAAATCAGAAGCAACAGAAAATCAAATTCAGACTATGAAACATTAAGCATTCCAGTTGGAAGACTTCAAACTTCATTTTGCAGCAAACAGCTACAACCAATTTAAAGTTTGAAGGACGCACTGTACCATGCCCAAACCCAAGTATTTCTGGCAATAAAGCACTACAGTGCTTCTGTTTTTCTGAATGCTAGAGCTCGCTTATTGCCTAGTCCAGCGCAGTGAATGAAACATAATTACAGAATGCACTGGAACTGTTAAATTTCCTACTTTTGTGAAGTCTCAAATGAATTTGTACATGTGCTAACAACAAAAAGAATTCTAATGTTATTATTTACACATAATAAGCAAAGACTAGATATGTGTACTTCAAAAGAGCTGTCTTAAATTCACAACGAAGACTAAAGTAATGCCACACAGACTTGCATAAGAATCTTAAATTCCTAAGCTGCATTTTTCAGCTACTAGTGCATGCAAATACCAAGGAAAGGCATTCCTGAAACTCATAATTCTTTTTAACAGTTCTGACACTCCCAGTTTAAAACCTTCTGATTCAAGGACACTCCTAGCAGGAAATAGTTTGCTTTTCATTTGGTAGCATAATGGATCAAGTGATCTCCAATTTATAAGATGCTAGAACACACGCCATCAACTTTATCATCTACTGTTTACTCAGTACTCACCCAGTTAACCTTACTCTGCAAACATACTTCAGTGCTGCCAGGTAACTCAGTCTGAACGTTTAATGCAATGGCTGATGCTGGTGAAGATAAAACATTAAGGAAAAATAATTTCAACAGACTCCACATAACTTACCACAAGAACATTCCTGACTGCAAAGAGATTACTTGCAAAAATTTTATAGAAAGTCAAAATTTATCACATCACTTAGATTCAGTCCACATCAGTCAGAAAATTTCTAACTTAACAATAACAACAGCTGTAATACTGCAATATCTAGGAGGCACATAGAAATTTTAAAAAAAAATAAATAAAATGAAAATATTCTCACCTGACATAACTGTTGCATGATTTTATTTTTCTTAAGCTTTTTTGGAATGTTTTGTTTTAAACTTGTATGAAGGCTAGATAAGAACAGAGAAGTGCAGTGCATTGGGCTCGCAATAAAACCTAAAAAATCTATTTGTTAAATTATGTGTACTTTATGTTTTCAATAGGTGTCAACAAACTCAAGAAATCCAAATTTAACAGAGAAGCCTGATCCAGCTTTCTGAAGCCAGATTTCAGATGCCAAGCTAGAACAGCACTAAAGAGTTCTGCATAACCCTGAAGTTTAAATTCTGATTTTATCACAGAGATAATGTGATAAGATCAATACATGGCAAGATATTTATTCACCACTATAGTTTGAACAAAGTCCTTAAAAAAAATAAACCCAAACCAAAACAAACGAAGTCACCTTAAAAGTCCTTGTTATTTCATTAAACATAACCAAAACTTTGGCAAACTGAACTGTACCTTAGCCATGCTACTCACCTTGTTTAGAAGACAGGTGATGCACAGGTCGTGCTGGCTGAAGGGATTTGCCAATAAACTTTTTTGCTTCTGCAACATTTTGAAACATTGCACTTCAAAAAAAGCAGCTGAAATTATTAGAGACTGTTCAGTTTAAGAAAAGGATGTTAAGGAAGAAGAGCAGTCTACCTACCACTCATTAGCTGCATTGGACAAGGCAATACACTACTGCATCCGGGCAGGAAAAAGCAGAAAAGGTCTGATGCGGAAATTCTGTGATATGATTGAATATGCTGGATAAAATTTGCATGAAGACAGAATCAGACACCTCTCTCATTTTTCCTTCCAACTGAGCTACCCTATAGCTTCCTCTCCACAAAATTTTTTTCCCTGATTATCTGTGTGTACATTTGGAGAAAGGAGATGGGGACATGTGATGGAAATGAAGGTGTTTTCTAACAATTTAATTCAATGGGTTTTTAATTAATTAACATCAGCGTACCTCTTACACTCTGCTGTCTGGATAGGAGTTCTCTTACATACATATATAAACCTACAGAATTGTTTTTTAATATCTACTTTAGTTACATTAATTCAGTTTTGTATCTTCCCACTCAGTTTAGCTACTACAGAAGAACCAAAAACTGCAAAGGTGATGGTGGGCAGACAAATCTCCCACTTTAAGTAAATAATCAGTTGTAAAATGTAACATCTATATTTGTATATTTGTAACATCTATATCTTAATATATCACCTTCCCACTTCCATCTCCTTTGTCATCTGGGAGATTTTATGATTTGAAGGAACTTCAGCTTCTTTTAGAGAAAAAGAATAATAGAAACAACTATGAACACAATAAAAACGATATTGAAATTCTATTTTCTCTAGGAAACTTTACGAGACAAGGGAAAAACTGTTATAACAAAAAAAAATCAAAAGAAATTATCATGACTGCAAGAGTTACAACTACATTATCCATTTTCAGCAGGGAACAGGAAAAGACAAGTTAGGCTTTTTGAAATATGCCCAGTATCACACCCCACTTTAACTGGTCTTTGCATTATAGAAAGAAAACCAAAAATCACCTGCAAATTTACTATACTATAATTTTTTGAACACTAAACTTCTAATATAGTCAAGTAACAATTTTCCAACATATGAAGTTTGAATCCACTCAGGCCTAGAAACCAACTGTTAAATGGCTACTGTCTGAATTAAAACAACTTAACTAAATCTAGAAAAAAAATTCTGGTTTGATTCCTTGCTTTTTTACCTGCTCATCTTAAAAAAGGAAGACTTGAAAGCTGTAGTCAAAAGCAGCAATGAAAATTCCTGCAGCTCAATTAACCAAGACTACTGACACGGATGCCATATTTCATTTTACCCAGATTAGGAATGCTTCTTTAAACCATATTTATAATAAATTTCCGCATAGAGCGAGGTAGTAATAACACAGATTTGCATTGGAAGAGTAAAAAAAAAAAAAAGGGGGAGCAAGTTTTCCTCTATACCCTGATTGCAAATGATATGCATGCTTTTTAAAAATGGGAAAAACCGTTTAAGAGGCTAGCTAGCTTCTAGAATGCAGCATCTGTATTTTTATAGCATTCTGACAATAAAAAAAGCTGTGTGGTGACAGCAAAACAACACATTTTGCCCCTCTTGCCCCACCCCACTGGGAAAAGGCTGGAAAAGATCGCAACAAGTCATCTAGCCCAATCTCCTGATTCATGGAGTGTTCTGACTAGTATCAAGAAAAGTAGAGAAAGAATAGTTTAAATAGCGGAGAAATAAACTGCCTCCATGAGAGACCAGTGCAGCAGAGGAAGCATCCCAAGACTTCCCCCTTATAAAGACCACATTGCTTCTCGGGAGTTATTACTATGGGAGACTTCCCCCTTACAAAGACCACATTGCTTCTCGGGAGTTATTACTATGGGAGACTTGCCCAGAGAAGGGAATCCCTCTGGCACCAGCAAACGGGCCCAGCAGCAGTTCTGTGGGACCCAGTTTTTTTTAGTTTCTTAACAAGTTGGACATTGACAGCAGCCCGCATCTTACGAGGGCCCACCTCAAGTGTTCTTTGGAAGACTCTCTCCTGAATGCGTGAAAGAGAACTGACGCAATATTGGTGAAAAATCCCCCGAAACTGACCGTGCCCCCCTCGCCCAAACTGGCAGCGCACCCGGAGCCCCACAGCCCCCGAGAAACAAAACCTCCTCGCCCCCTCCTTTGGGCCAGGGGGTCGCCAGCCCACCTCGACCGTCAGCAGCGCCCCTGCCCCACGACCCCAGTGGGCTCCGCTGTGGCGGTGCCTCCCTCACGCCGGGCGGGGCGGGGCGGCCCTCGCGCGGGGCTCGGCCGCGGCCGCGTGCGGGGCGGCGCCGTTGAACGTCGCCCTGAGGGAGCCTCGCCCTGAGGGAGCCTCTCCCCGAGGAGCGGGGAGAGCGAGAGGAGGGGCGGCGGCCCTGCTCCCCCGGGGGTCGGGTCTGAGAGGGGCTGGAAATGAGTGAACGTGGTGTCCTCCTCTGGCCCGCAAAGTGAGTCACGTTCTGTCAGAAGACAGGAGAAAATAAGCGACTTTTGAACACAACTGTGGACCTCCACAGCTAACCTCGTCCAGAAAGAAAAGGGAAATCCACAGGCCTTGGAAAGCTGTCACTGAGTCAGAAAACTGTCCTCGCCAACCTGCCTCATGGCACCGACCAGTGACATGGGCAGGAGGGACCAGAGAACGGCCTCTCAGCAACAGAGGGGATGGCATCCTGCGTGCTTTGGAAATTCAAGTGTATTTTATCTCACAATATGTAATCAACAATTAACAATGGAAACACCCTGCTGACTCCCAAAGGAACAGACTACAATTTCCTGGTGTTAGTTTGCTAGATTCAGTAGTCATCTTACTTAAGTATACAACATTAAAGTCCTTAACTTTTTTGTTAATTTTTTTAATACGTATTTAATATCACCTGCTAGGGAGTCCGGAGGTACTGTACAGAACAGGTAGGTAACATCAAGCACATAACTAGATAAATAGCAAGTACTTAATTATTAATATTCAACATTAAGATGTACAGTCCTGGCTAGTTTATAAAGACTGTTTTATTTCATCAAGCATATTGGTTCTTTGCTGCAGTCTCTGAATTTTATTAACTTAGGTATGCAGAGTTGAAACTGTCCTTGAAATAGCGGCTATTATATACAGATGTCATGCTCCTATAGTAGTCTCTCCTAACATCATCTTCCAGTTGGTTTCCTCAACTGTTCACGCATGGTGTGCTATCACATTCTTTTTGCAGACACTGATGCAGCACATCTGCATGCTCACTGACCCACTTGCTGCCATTTAAGGTCCTGTTTAAAGTAATTTCTCCCAAGTGAGTTAGTTTATACTCAGACATATCCTGTTTCTTCTAAGCCAGCATCTATTCTCACAGGATTGTCATGTAAAACAGTTGCTCCTCTGTTCATGTTTTAGCTAAATCAGAACTGATTATCAATTATTAATATGTAAGTGCACATAAATATTAATGTTGGCTGCTACTCCAGAACTGTTACTGATGGGAAAGTCAATGGGGCAACTAAGATAAAGGTATGTTTTTTCATGGGACTGTTGTGCTTTTTCAAAGAAGCATGTCAGGTACTGCAAACCAGATTTACAGCAGATCAACACAAGCCTTCTTGACTTACTGAAATGGTATCACAGAGATGTAGAATTACATATTCTTCCAGTATTTTTACAGATTTAAATATGCTAAGGATGAACTAAACAGTAAAAATCCTCACTTGTCTTTTTCATAGGGGCTGTAAACTGGGCTGCTGCTTCTAATCTGTAAGGAAAAGAGAAGGGACAGGAGCAGAAATAGGGCAAGAGGAAAAAAATGGTGTGTGCCAGTTACTTTGAAAGCTTGTTGCTCCTAGGCCTGCTGGGAAGATGGGAATATTAGGGCAAGTAATGGCTGGTTTTTGAGGCACTGACTGTCCCAGCAGGAATAGTTATCACCTCACAGGCTGCCGCCCATGAGTTGGCAATACCAGCAGCAGCAGTGAGGCTTTCCAGCCTCTGGCAGAGGAAGATGGAGTGCTGGACTGCAGCCACTTCACAGATCCCAGCAACCTGCTGTCTTCAGCAACTTTGCCTGTGCCTAGAGAGAATTGTGCTTCTGATTGTGGGAAATGAAAACATAAAGTGGAAAAAACTTTAGCTTTTATCAGTTGTCTCCCAGTTTGCTTGGTGCTGGTAATTACACTACTGAAAATTTCTACTTCATTTGGTATTGTCTATGTTCTTACATTACATGATGATAATCTAGTGTTCTCTCAAATACTTGATATATACAGTAATTATTTTGAAGGGCCAATGACAGGTCTAGCCAAGAGAGATTTACTGTATATAGCGAAATATAAATATTAAAGTTTTAATAGATGTGTGAACAAAATCCATATATACATAGAAAAAACTCACCCCCAAACCAAATGTCTTTTTCTATTTTGTGAAATAATCGGAGATTATTTCTTTTTAATATTCTGATTGTGCTCCTAAAGGCCGTAGATTGCAGAAAGCCACACAGTTACACTCCCTGTAGTAGATTTGGTTCAGGAAAGCAGAAAACATTTATGAAAGATAATATCAATATTGCATGTGTAAAAAATGACCAATTGCACATCTAAATGAGCGTGTAATTGTAATTGCACATGATTTTAGTTTTGTAGTGGATGGCACTTAACAGCAAAGTAATGGGTTTGAGCTGAAATGAAAGGACTCTTGGGTCAGCCTGAGGGCAGACTTGTAGTTGCAAGATTAAAAAGCCATTTTCTCTATAATTTGTTATTCAGTTGTGCAGTCAAATGTAATCAGCCTATTTGCATATGTAATTGTGATTTATTTACGAGCACTTTTTTGGGAAACTTTTTTTTTTCCTAAAGCCACTTTTAAAGTAATTTCATCACAAAGCAAAAGCAAACATTATTTCCAATGTTATATGCTTTATTAAGTCAATCAACAGGACACCGAGGGACAAGAATGTACTTGTAAATGTACATATGTGCACACAGAATATTATAGTTGTACTTTTGTGAAGTGGCTGCTTTCAGCTAAACTAGTGACTTGTCCTGGGGAGGCAGCCCAGGGAAAGAATGCAAAAGTTTTTATCCCCTGATTGTTCCTAAAGTTGAGCTGTTTAATATATTAATATTCTTCTTTCAATAGATTTGAGAATTCAGGATATTAATCATGGGTATTAATCTTGTTCTTTTTGACTACAGAAACTGTTGAATTAAAAATGGGAAGTTAGTACTGTATTTGGTGCTTACCACATGTAACTAAATAGAGGCTCAAATGTTTATGATCAGCATATAATACTACATACATTCATATATCAAATATATTTTCTTCACATACAAAAATGCTTTCAAGTCTATCAACTGTCATGCTTCTTCTGAATTAGGATTTTGTATTTTCCTTTAAAATTAATTTTCTGGGATCATTAATTGTAACAGATTCTCAACATTTTCCTTTAATTTCTGAGTTTTTTGAATGTGGAGAAAATCTTAACAACATGGATCTAAGGCACCATGCAAGTATCAAAAAAATCCCTAAATGACAGATAAAATTAATTTTATAAATAAATATATAAAAGACCTACGAAAACTAAACATTCATTATTTTGGGGGAGGTTCATCTCTCATCATGGAGGGGTGGCAATACTGAATTGCAGAGGTTAATTATTGCACCTGAACTGAACAGTGCATTCAGGATGCACTGAATATTCTTAATAACTGCAGACACTGAACATCAGCATTTCAACTGACCTTATTTTATCAGCTTTGAAACACCAGCTGCACATCCTGCTTCTTGAAAGAGATCCCAGAAGCCACTGGCAGGAAGATTAAAAGGTAGGAAGGCCTATGAAACCTGTAGGCTCTGCCATGTCACAGGGTAGCAGCTCAGGCACTGCTCCCTTCTCAGTGTTGCCCCTTTTTTGATGCACAAAACTGTACCTCTGTTAAAGGAACTGCCACGTGGAGGGCATGGCTCAGATGCAGAGCTTTAGTTTGTTATATTGCATTGGATAGTGGAAGAAGATGCCATGGGACAGTGGATCCCTAGAGAAGGAAAACTGTAAGACTGCAGCTAACAGCTTGATGAACTCAGTATATGAAGCAGGGTATCAGAAAGTATCAAAGTACCTGCTGTTTGCTTATTTTTGTTATTAACAAAAGGCATAAGAGATTAACAAAGGCATAAGAGAAGTTAAGATTTGTGGTCCTGCATAGAATCAATCAATAGAAATTCATCCACATCTATCATTATCCAGAACAAAGTTTCATAATCTATATGCACATGCACATAGTAACAGATGAATTAAACAAACAAAACAAAACACCAACCCCCCCCCCATATAGTTCTCTTGTGTGTTTTTAGATATGTACAGGGAAAGAGACTCATGCATTTAATAATTAATAATAATCCTAGAAGAGTTCAATTTGCTTTGGGAGGCTGAAATTCATGGCTTAATACACTTAATGAAAGTTTTGCACTTCTTTTCTGGGTTTGGGCCAGAATTTCACCTGTTATTTGTATAGATTCCTTTACTCTGAATTCTTACATCTGATATAGCTATCATAGCTGAATTACAAGACCTAAAAGTCTTTATATATGCTGGAGTTAGTATCTGAATCTGAAAAGAAACTTCAAGAGAAATCAGCTCCCGCTCCAATGGAATGAGGAATTCTGCTTTCCAGTATTTCAGTCATGGGAATTGGTTTTAGTTCTTAGGCTGATTGAGATTGTTGTCATAACTTTAATACCAGGAGTATATATAGGGTCTTATGACTAAGACATTGCTACCTTTAGATTTAGACTAAATCAGCATGATTCAGCAAATGGCACCAAAACTGTACTGGTAAATAAAGATAGAGTACAATGCGAATAAATAAGTCAGGACCAAGAGCATAAAAGTTAAAAATAAAGGCCAAAGCTTGGAATGTGACATAAGGAAACACCTTGTGCAAAACAGTAGTGATTATAAAAAATGCACACATTAAAACTATGCATTCGTGCTTCTCTGGACTGAGATAATTGTTTATGTCACAGCTGTGGAGAAAAATTGTTATCGAAGTTGTTGACAATTGTTGACAATTTTAGTTTATATGCCTAATAGGAAATATGATTTCAAATTAATAAAGCTGTTATGTTTCCAAATGTGTGTATGTACATATGAGGGTTAGAATGACCTAATTGAAAACTAATCCTTCGTAAGTTAATCCATTTTTATGCACCCAGATTTGCTTTGTCACATTGAAATATATTGTGAAATTACTAAAGGCAAATTACCAAATATTGGAATGGAATAATTATGACCTCAGTTAGCTTTTGCTAGATTTGAGATATGGATGATTTATAAGGAATCAGAATAAAGCTTCTTATATTGATATTTAAATTTTAATTTATTTACAATAGAGAGATTAATATTTTTATAGCTTTTAAGTTGTTATTTGTCCATTCTTCTAGGTAGTGTATATATAGTAACTTGCAAAGATGAACTAATAAGGCAGCAGTCGGTGTAACTTTAGTGTGTATTTGATCTTTCTGCATTATGAAATACATCGTCTCTATTTCAGAAGAGGCAGGGGACGAGCCTTAAACTCCTAAAACAGTTTGGAGCACACACCTATTCACTGCAGAGAGATAATGTGGCTGCTGTGTGTGCTGTCAAAGACTGAGAATGTAAGAAAAAACATCATTCTGTGCTTCACGGTGAAGAACTGCCATCTCCTGCCACGTGAACTAGCGTGAGAGAACCAAGGTAGTGTGAAGTGATCTGAGAAACAGCAGTTCAGAGGAGTGCAGAAGAAAGTCTAGCATTGTAAGCTTTGTCAGTCCACTTTGCGGTTGCCTTTTCTCTGCCAGAAATAGCAGTTTCATGGAGTCAGTGAACTAACTCCTGCCTGGGCAGGGACTCCTTGCCATAGAAACTAATTGCCAAAAGCAGGAAAGCTCTGGCAAGAGAAGACCTGCAGTGGGGTGCACTAAGGGAAAATGAACGCATTGTGTGCCTTGGCTTGGCATTGCCTACTGCAGATCATCCTACTAGAAGCCAGAAACTGTACAGTTTATGCTCTGATGCACCCATCATTTACTTACTCTCAGTTATGTAGGCTTGCCACTTCATTGTAGCAATGGACCCATCAAATTTCACCTGTTTTTGTAACACAGGACAGCAGGTTGTTCTGGCCAAGAAGGTGGTTTTTCTCACCCGGATGCTCTTGATCTTACCCCATTATTTACTGTGTGCCTCTGAAACACTGACAAAGGTAGGGAAAAAGCAAAGGTCACCAAACAGCAAATGAGAAGAAGGAACAACAGCGAGTCAGAAACAAAAGAATTGCTGCTGTCATTAACCAAACATAGGAATAATTAAAAAAAAAAACAAACAAAAAACAACCCAAACACAAAACCAAAAATAGTACCTACAAATCCTGTTCTGGAACTGAAGCCCTAAAGTCATCCCAAGAATAAAAATTTGATTTTTTGAATATGCAAAAGTTTCTACTTCTGTATATGAATTAGAAAAAGTAATTCACTGCCTGCAAAATGAACAGTTGAAGCCTTTGATGTTAGTGAGAGTAAGCCCCCTAACTGGCAAAAATGAAAAGATTTTCAATTCATCTTATTAAAAATAAAAAGGAAACCTCAAAAACATCAGATCAAGTTCTCATTTCTATGTAGAAAATAGTTTGTTGATCAGTCTCTGAGCATAAGTTTGCAGAGACACTTGGCCCCACAAGGCAGTTACAGATATTCCTTTGTTTTAATTAATAAATCGTACTTTCTAGGGCTTTAGAAGTATTACATTAATAATATGTCTTGGTCTGGAACAAATTTATACCATTACATTATATCCATCTATTTTATAATATTCTACCACAGCTTATATTAAAAGTTTTTTAAAATGCATTTTTATGGAGCTTTAATTTAGATTTAATGTTTATCATATGAATGTAGTGAAAGAAATTTGCAAAAAAAAAAGTCTTTATATAAGCTCTGTAAATAAAAGGACTCAAAGGCTGTAAATATTAAAAGTATTTTTAGGCAAGTATTTTACTTTCCATGCTTTTAATTGCCACTGCCAATCAAAACCAAGGTTTATGAGAAACCTGTACTTTTCTGGAATAATCTTTTAAATAACATATTAATTGCAGTTTAATCAACAAATGTAACACATTTTCAGATTTATTTAGTTTTTAATCCAAAGTTTTTAATTAAGCACAAAAGCATTTAGGAAGTTTAGATTTTAAAGGGAGTCTTCTGACAGCCATTCTTCACAGAAATCTATCACTAGGGTATCAGTTTCAATGAGAATTCATCGTGTGAGCTGCTGTGGCCCTCTCTCCACTCGTCCCACCTCCCCCAACCAGGGGTAGATACAGGTATTTTGAGAGTTAAACATGGCTGTCAGTATCCCATTCTGAACATTATGCATGCGCTGCTCTGGGTCAGGAATTTGTTGTCCAGTCTTACCTCGTTCCTGGAAAGCAACTTCAGGGTCTCCAATTGTATCAGTTTCTTATCAGCAATATCATTTTTTGCAGGAGAAGTAAATCCTAACTTGATGTTCTGAATCCAAGCAAAGTTAGCAATATGGGCATCACTAAGACTATATTATATAGTTATACTAAACAGAAAACGTTCTATCACTCTAGTCAAAGAGTGTTAGAAATTGTTTTATTCATTAAAGCATATATTCCTCAACAATTTAGAAAATATTACAGACTTAAAAAATGACAGATTCCATAAGTAATAATGGAATAGGAAACAGGGTTCAGTCAGCTCATGTAAATATCTCATTAAATCAGCTCACACCAAGGCTTTCTTTCAAGCCAAGATTAGGATCTGTGGTTACTTGAAAATTCCATTCAAGTTTTCCAGCTCAGCTAGCCTGTGCACTTACAAGTGTGAAACTAAAAGCAGTTAATCCTAGTGGGGAGGTAAATTAAATTTCACAAGTATAAACACTGGAATTGTAAATTTCATCATTTTATTATTTCTCTGCCTACTCTCAGAAATCAATTCAGTATTAGCAACAGTCCAGTACACTTAATGCTGTATTAAAATACATGAGCTGGGCATATAAAAAATACATGTTGTGGGCTTAACAAGATTATGCCTTGTGCAATGGTCTTTGCAATTGCCTTGTGCAATACTGTCTTTTCTGTCAATGCTGGAAGTTCTTGCTGCTGGCACTGTACCAAGGGCTGGCTGCTGTGACAGCCAGGCTGCTTCTCTGGGGTAGAGAAGGGCACTATCCCAAACAGTGCCTCGCTGACTGTGCGTGACACGAACATCACTGTTCCCATGTCCAGACATGCAGGACAGTGAACTCTCTGCATTCTCCACCTGCTCTGTCTTCTTAACAATAAAGCATAGGAAAAGTCAATAATTTGTTTGACAGAGCCTGTCTCCCAAAATGAGATATATCCCAAGGTTTATTCTCACTAATTTTTACTGTTAGACTGGAAAAAGCATTATTGTTAAGCTTCCTGCCACAGATTTAATACCAGATCTATACAGTATCTTATGACTACACCATTTCTGCCTTTGCAAACTGAATTGTAGTATGTTTGTACATCTGGGGGTTTATTATTGATAATAGCTGCTATGTCACGTTTTCCAAAATAGGAAAGAAAAACACATTTTTAAGGTTATGTCTTCTTTTCACTGTTAACAGTCACAAAAAGTGTAATTTGCTGCAAGCCTACAAGTCCATGAAGTCTATTGCCCATCTCTTCTGATCCTGGTGACAGAACATTTTAAACAAAACTGGAAGTATGTTGATTAGAAATGCAGATTCAAAAGCCTCTGTCCTGTTCAGCAATACGTAAATGAGACTACTTTAGTGTTTTTCTAATCAGAATAAAATTCATGGATTTGAGGGTAGCTGTCCTGTTAGAGCTTCATAGCACAGTAGGTACACAGCGATGCCTATGGTGACAAATGTCCCATCAATCGTTTTGCAGCTGGTATAGAGCTGACTGCAAACCAGCTCAGAAAGAGATTAACGCATAACAACTATGAGAAACTTTTGTGTGTGTTTGTATGTGTGTATGAGAGTGCCAGATCTCTGAGGAAAATCTAAGCTGTTTCATAGCAAACTCCGATTTATTTTGTGGAGGGCTTTTTTGTAGTGTGCATGCATTTTTAACAATTTCTCTTAGCTTCATTACCTCCCTAGTGTCCAGTTTAGACAATGTAAATATAATATTAAATACAACAGCTCTGTGACATTTATGCATTTATAATTTAAAAAAAACCCACAAAAATTAAGATTACCCTTGTAGTTCTTGTTTCTTGGTCGTTTTGGCCCTCAGGAGGTGATTCAACTCTACAGTTTATATGGGCTCCCCCTCTGTCTGTGGGTGCTGTCAAGCTCAGGGCATTTCTGCCAGGAACTCCAGGGTCCCTTGGTTACATAGGATAGTGCTGATGGAGGGAACTTGTAGGGAACACAAGTGTGCTCTTAATTTCAGAGGAGTGTTTTGCTGCTACAGATCTTCCAGCTCCCATTACCTGATACAGGGTAGGCTGATATAGACACATTGGTGTCAAACAGTAAGTCCAGAAGACTAGCTCGTAGCCCAGGTTCTCTCCATCCTCATCCTTTTGCTGCAAAGTCAGGTGGACAGTGATTGGGAGTACCAAAAGCATCTTTGCAGAGATGCTGCAATCCTTTACGGACTAGATAATTGTGCTAAAAGGCCCAAAAAACCACAAAAGCAGCAGTCTGTAAAAAGGTTGGTTTAAGCAGAATTTAATGTAGCTAATAAATTATTAGGTGTTTCTTCCTAATTTTCCATGGTGTGATTTCCTCTGATTCTATTCCTTGGTCTGACTCTCATGGATTCTGTTTTTGGCCTCAGTTTTGTATCACTATCCCCCTCTGTGCTACTTCTTCATCCTGACACTCCCCTTTATTTTCTTCCTTCATGCTGCCCAATTGCCAACAAAATAGCCTGCAGTACTGGTGGAGGCAGTCCTTTCTTCTTTGAGGAATGGAAGAAGGAGGAGTTACAGGAAAGCCATGTGCATTTCCTGCACCTCCAGAATGAAAGATATCCAGCACAAAACAGATATTCTGAAATTTTTAGCTCACTTCTACTAACAAATGTCTACTGAAAGCACACAGGTGAAATTTTTCGAAGTCTCATAACACAGCCATATTTCAGCTCACTTTGGCAGGAGAGTTAAAAATGCCAACTGATCCTGCCAAACTGCTCCAAAGCAGGGTGCAGGGATAGCTGGAATTGTATAGCTATGTGATTTTATTTAAGCATAAACAGTTTTTCCCCTGCTCTCCCTCCTGGCAAAACAGTACTATTTGAACTGAAACTGCACAGAAAATATACCTGAGACACCTGGGATGGAAAATTTTGCTCTAAAAGATTAATATTTGACATTATAAGCATCAAAACAAGAGACAATTAAAGCTCAGAAACTCTGTATTAAAGATTGTTTTTTTCAAGGTACTTTATATTTTATCTCTCTGAAATAGTTAGAAATTATGTTCAGTATGTAAAACTGTATGTTAAGAGGCAAGAATTCGGTATACTTCAAAAGTTTATCTCAAGAAACTGGCAGATACAACATAGTTACAGATACGAAATTAAAAACACCCAAAGAAAAATATGATGACATCACAAAATTAAAGAGGACTCAATATACTCCAGTAATATTACATAGGCAAATAATATAAAAATTAAATTCTCTACCTATTTCCTATCTAGGCAACTCCGCTAATTTTTTTAACAAACTGAAAGCATGACAAGAAAGATGTACTAGACATGGGTAAGAAACTTCACTAATGAACAGTGAAAGTTTAAAGATGTTGCTCTGGAAATACTAGAAACCGATTCTGATCTTTCTGTGAAGGTAATGTGCTGTATTGCCATTTGGTCTGGACCTGTGAGCCTGTTAGCAACTTCCTTCTCACACAGTTTAATTCAAAGCAGTCCTTAGGAAATATTGCAAGAAAAATAAGCAGCATGCCCTCAGAAGTGTTTTTCTAACCTGTCTCTCCATCTCTGCCCCAATTGTTTTGGGCTTGTTATTTTTTTAAGCATTAAGCAATGCACATAAATTTAAGTAAGCTGGAACTATAATCATGTCATAACAAACTTATATAAAGCCATGTAAAAGAGAGAGTATTAAATTTACTTAGAAATAAATTGTTGTTTCTCCATTACAAGACATGCTGTTACTGGATAAAACCTTAATATGCAACTGTCCTTATGACCCCATGTGTCTCATCCAGTTTTATCTTTTAGCCATTTTTTATAAATGTTCTTAAACCCACTCGATAATCATTTTACTAAGTCATTGCAATGACATATAACTTTGTCATCTGGGTCGGCAATTTCCAATCCATAGTCAGATTTGTTACTTATGTTCACTAGTTTTAGCCGAACACACTTCTTGCTAATAAACCCTTAAAAAGGAACCATAAAACCCAGTTCCAAAATCTGTTTAGCCTCATGACCTTTTTTTCCCCCCCAAACCAGCCAACATGAATGCCTACAGATGAATAGAAAAAGTAGAGGAAGTGATGGAGGGATACCTCCCTAGTAGACTCTTCCAGATTCCAGTGAAGTGTAACATGAGTTACAAGTAGCTTTATTGTTCTAAAATAAAAGCCCTTTTGTGATTAAAGCTGTAGGAAATTGAGCCTAGATATTGTTTTCTTGTTGGCTCAAATATCCATAACAAAAATCTTGCAAATAACTTAAATCGGATTAAGTTCCTCTCTCGCCTCTCCTTCATGACCTCCAACCAGCCTTTTGCTCCTTCACCTTCATGCAATCTGCTGCAGCAATTGTACCAACAAAATCATAGAAAGAAATCTGAATTAAGGAAGCACTTTCTAAATTATTTTCAAGCAGGCTTTTGTCCTACAGCAATGGGTGTACAGTGCAGTCGATCGCACTCCTCCAGTACAGCTCTGATGGTAAGCCATGGGATAGGGATGAAGGATAGGTGGAAGGCTAAGGAATGAGGACAATTTAATCTGATCTGGCTACTGAAACAAACATGGTTTGTAACTCCACT